GAGCGCCTTGGATGATATCTGGGGATTTCAATGTGATAAGAAGTCAAGTTGAAGCTTCAAATGTAACACACTATAGTACAAGCATGAAGGATTTTGACAAGTGGATTATGGAATTGGAACTAGAAGACCATCAGGCAAGAGAACCATGGTTTACTTGGCTTAACAAGCAAGATGCTCGTCGAAATGCGAAAAAGTTAGATCGGGTGTTGGTTAATTTTGACTTGTTGGATAAGGTGACAGAGAGCTCAGTTCATTTTCAGAAGCCAGTAGTCTCAGATCACTGTCCAAGTTTGGTGGACACTGAGGCTATAAAACAATCACTGCCCAAACCGTTTAAGTTTTTTTGATTCTGGACCAGACATCCGAAGTTTGATGAGCTGCTAAAGAAGGCGTTGGAGAGTGAGGTATCAGGGTCACCAATGATCAAAGTTTATAAGAAACTGAGAATTCTAAAGAACCTATTGAAGAAATTGAACCGTGAGGAATACTCTGAAATCAGGGAGAGGGTCAAGGTAAAGGAGGTTGAACTTGAAGAAATTCAACAGGAAGCTCTCTCAGTTCCAACAAGTGAAAACTTCAAGAAAGAGTCCACTGTTTCCAGGGAGTTATATGAGCTACTTCAGGTGGAGGAGTCGTTTTTAAGACACAAATCAAGGGACCTCTGGCTTAAAGGGGGAGACTCAAATAGCCCCTATTTCCATAGGTCTCTGAAAACAAGACAAAAGAGGAATATGATTACAATGCTGAAGGATGAAGAGGGGAACAAGGTCACTGATTTGCACAGAATGGGTGAGATTGCTGAGGGGTTTTATAATCGTTTGCTGGGAAGGAAAGATTCTAAGGTTATTGAAGAGCCTAATGAATTCTATACTGAACTAATAAGGAATACTATACCTAGTGAGGATGGACTCTGTGATCCCATTACAGAGGAGGAGGTTAAAGGAGTTGTCTTTGCCATGAATGGGGACAAAAGTCTAGGGCCAGATGGATACTCAGCAGGTTTTTTCCAACATGCTTGGCCAGTGATTGGGAAAGAGGTAACTCTCGCTATTCAAACTTGTTTTCTGAGAGTAGGATGCCTAGGGAAGTGAATGTTACCATTCTAACTCTAGTACCTAAGATCCAGAATCCTGATGAGATGAGGTTTTTTAGGCCAATATCCTGCTGCAACACTATATACAAGGTCATTGCTAAGATCATTGCAAATAGGTTTAGGGTTCTATTGTCTCACTTAATCAGTCTAAATCAGACTGGATTCATTAAGGGAAAGATCAATTGGAGATAACATTTTGCTTGCACATGAGATAGTTCATAAGTATACTCAGAAAAATGTCTCTCATCGTTGTGCGCTTAAAATTGATCTAATAAAGGCCTTTGATTCGGTTGATTGGCTATTCATTTTTAAAGTGTTGAAGCATATGGGGCTCCCTGAACAGTTCATCAGTTGGATTAGGATGTGTGTAAGCACTCCTATGCTTAGTGTGGGGTTAAATGGAGGATTAGTAGGGTATTTTCCTGCCTGTAAAGGTTTTAGACAAGGGTGCACGTTATCCCCGTATTTGTTTGTTGTTGCCATGGAGATCTTTTCGTGTTTGATTGATAAAGAGGCACAAAAGGGGCATTTCCCCTACCACCATATATGTAAAAAGATAGGTTTAACCCATCTATGATTTGCTGATGATTTACTAGTCTTTTCTGATGGTTCACATTTTGGATTCCAAAGACTGATTGAGATTCTAGCTCGGTTTAGGAAACTGTTTGGTCTTCAAGTAAACCCAAGTAAATGTGAACTCTTCTTTGGGGGGTTACCGCGCCCTGAACAGAAGGTGAGGGCTGATAGGTATGGCTTCTCGTTGGGAAAGTTTCTTGTTAGGTATCTGGGAGTTCCCCTCTCTTCAGGGAAACTCACTGTAGCTGCTTGCAAACCTCTGATTGATAAGATTGGTGCTCGGATTAGTAGCTAGAAGTCTCGCTTTTTGTCATATGCTGGTAGGGTGGAGCTTGTTAGTTCAGTTCTGTACAGTTTGCATCAGTTCTGGATGATGGCTGTCTTAATTCTCCCAAAAGCAGTGATCCGTGAAGTGGAAAGTATTTGCAGCAATTTCTTGTGGGGTGTTGGTCATAGTGGTAGGATTAAAGCAAAAATTGGTTGGAAGCATCTTACCTTCCCCAAAAAGAAGGGGGACTGGGGTTGAGAGACTTGGAAACCTGGAATATTGCATGTGCTACAAGGCATATTTGGCTCCTATTGTTGCAACAGGGTTCTCTGTGGCTGTGGGTCGCATGGATCATTGCATACAAGCTGAAAGGCCAAGATTTTTAGCTTTATGGTGGTAATTCTGGTTCATGGAACTGGAAAATGATTCTTAAGACGCGGAAAAAGGTCTATGCATTCTTCCACCAGCAGGGGCAGGACATCTATTGGGATCAGGATAGAATAGAGACCTTCTCAATAAGGAGAGTCTGGGAAACATTAAGGCCAAGGAGACAGCAGGTAACCTGGTTTCATCTATTACGGAAGGGGACCTCCATCCCCAGAAACAGGTTCATTACTTGGTTAATCCTAAATAGAGCAGTTACTACAAAAGAGAAGATGAGGAAATGGGGTTTTAATGGTAGTTTGGGTTGTGTGTTCTGCAGTTGTTCGTTGGAAACCTCAGACCATTTGTTTGCAGAGTGTTTGCTGTACAGGAATATGATACGAAAGTTTTTTGGAAGATCAGAGGTTTTCACTTCTCTGGACAGTGAGCTGGGTTGGATGCAGCAGGTCTTTGGGTCTCAAAATGTGAAGTCTCAAGTGGGGCGAGCCATGTGGCATAGTCTGATTAGCGTGGTGTGGCGAGAGAGGTGCAACAGAGTTCACTTGGGGAATTGTAGGGACTGTGACGTAATGTGCAAGGTTGTAAGGGAGGAAATTATAGAACTGTTCGGTAGAAATATATATGAATCCTTTTTTGATACGTAGTTTACATATTGGACAGTATGGTTTTTGATTTGTTAAGCCTTAACTAGTAAGGGTGTTGCTAGTACCACTTTTGATGAAATGAAAGAAATCCGATTAAAAAAAAAATACTTGAATGATATACAAGAAAAATGATATTTTTGTCAGCCTCCCAATATTACCCAAGAAGAGAATAACTTGCGATTGCAATTGGAGACTAGGATGCTGCGGAAGATGACTAGCCGCAAAGATATGATGGTGGAAAGCAAGTCCGCAAAACCAAATGATTAGGACCCTTTTTAACAAACTAAATTGACTGATTAACAATCATATAAGCTCATTAGATACCGCGATAACAGCCGTTCAGACGACCGGCAAATGATAATTGTGCATTTATTATTTGATATTAGAGATAAAAATATGGGCATTTGGAATACAAAATAGTTCTTTTCTGGATACGAAAATCTCCGCCGAACATACTGCTCTGTTTCTTTCAGTAGGTCTCTGAATGGCCATGTCGCATTGTCTCCATCTCAACCAATCAGTTTACTTCCAGAAAAATGTTTAGTTTAAGGGATTGATACCTTAATGTTGCAAAAATAAGGAAGAGAGAAAAAGGTATCGGAGACCACATCCTTCATTGGAGTACTGCCAAAAGAGCAGATGTGCCAAACACCTATTCATCAATGTCCAACTATACCCTCAGGTCCTCTGAATTTAGTCTAGTCGACTATATGGTCCCTCAACTACTGAAATTAGGCTAATATGAATTGCAAGGATTAAAATTGTCATGAGATACCTACATTGAGGTTTCGCACTATGTTACTCAATCAATAAAATGAGACGCAGCAATTTGAGTCGTTTTATGATCTGTGTCTACAAGTGTTGAGCAAAATTAGAATAATGATAGGACGGTAAGTTGTTATTTGTTGGAATTAGAAGTTCAGAATTCAGAATTTGGGGTTTTATATTGGGTAAATACAATATATTAACCACAACTATTATGAAGCGGGGATTTGTAGCCATAACTATGAAAATTCAAATTATTAGCCATAACTATTGTTGCGGGTCAAGATATGGCTAACTGTTTGTTACTATTATTGAATTTTTGAAAGAGAAGGCCACGTCATCGGCCACGGGAGCGGCCACGTCGGAATGCTTTTAATTTATAACTTTAAAACATAAAAGTTTAGTGAGTATTACTAACGAAATTGTTAACAGATAGTTAACGTTTGGCTAATAATTTGAATTTCCATAGTTGTGGCTATAATTCTCCACTTCATAATAGTGGTGACTAATATATTGTATTTACCCTTTTTTATTTAAAATATAGAATTTTCCCATCTCCTCCAATCCTAGTTTTGTTCATTAAAAATTGTGATATATGTTTTATTTATGGTCTATTCTCATTTAAGTCGTGCCTTCGTCACGATTGCAGAGGATCAAAAGGAATGAATTGAGATTTTAATTTAAAATTTGCCCCTCTCTCCAACTGATTAAAAACTGTGACAATAATTATCTTATTTTTAATCGGCTCTCATTTTGATTATGAATTGTCACGATTACTGTCTTACAGAGGACCAAAATGAATGAATTGAAAACTAGCAGTGAGTAGCCTGGTTTGTAGACCTTATTGGGGGAACCCCATATAATTAACCCAATACAATAATGCAAGGGAATGGAGACAAATCAACTAGCCAACTAATGACAATGATATTACTAATTAACAATTGAATAGAAACAATTCACACGTGGGTTGGAGAGGAATTTGATTTCATACTTCCGCTCCAAACCCCTTACCCTGTTATATAGACACCAGAAATTAGCTAGCTTTGTATTATGCTCTTCTTACAAACATTAATCTCTCATCAGCTTAGGATCCTCTTCATACATCTCTCTGCCTCTCATGGATAGCAAATGGTTCATGAACGAATTGGTATGCAACTAATCTCTATTGATTACTTCTTCTTCTTCTTCTTCTTCTTCTTCTTCTTCTTCTTCTTCTTCTTCTTCTTCTTCTTCTTCTCATGATACTTATTTTCTATGTAATTGACAGGAAATGGAGGATTACAAGTTCTTCCAACACTGCGACACAATCAACTCCCAGCTGCAAGACGACGAGTTCAACACCAACCCACCAACGCAGCTCCACATGGCTGCTGCTGCTGCTGCCGGCGGCGAATCCCTTTCCAGCCTCCAGCCATCTTTCTCTTCCGAGAGCTACTCATCTTACTCCGGCGCCACCTTCCATCACACGACCCCAAACGTTGCCGTTTCCACCATGGTCCCGGCCGCAACCAGAAGCGGCTCTAATTCCATGAACGAAACCTCACAGCAGAGCTACGACCATCATCACAGCCGGCCTGCCAAGCAGCAGAAGAGGACCAACAGTTGGAGCTCGAGCGTGACGACCGACCACCATCACCACAACCACATCGATTTCTCTTCCTCCCACACCTCCCAAATGCTCTCCTTCGACAACAACAACAACAACAACTCTTCCTCCCTCCTGCCTTTCTCCAGAAACAACAACAGTTCAGACCCCACGGTGCAGCCCAAAGACGAGGCTGCTGCTGCTGACTTGCTTTTCCACCCTAATAATCTCATGATCCCGAACAGGAACAGCTACAACAGCAGCGACCCATTTGAGAACACCGTCTACGCTCCAAAGGGTATGATCAAGACTCGGCCTTTCTCGTCCATGGCGACGACAACTCGAAGCCCTTCCCACGCTCAAGACCACATCTTGGCCGAGAGAAAGCGCAGGGAGAAGCTCAGCCAGAGGTTCATTGCTCTCTCTTCCATCGTTCCTGGCCTCAAGAAGGTAATAAATACCCTTTTTTTCTCTTCCTCTCCTTTCCTAGACAAGTGACAAAATGTTTCGCCTAGGCAGATAATTAGACATTCATAATATCTAAATAATATTTAGGCAAAATTAAACACGATTAATAGGTGTGAAGCGTGTTTAATTAAAGTGATTCGCAATCCCTTAGATCTTAAATGAGCGTCATTTCAAAATGACTTGTAATTTGAATGTGCATCAAATATCATTTCTCGATTACACAAATCTCTGATACATTGTCAAAAATCAGATGATCTCAATAACTCAAACTGTTGAGTCGATTACAGAGATCATATAGCAGTTATTACTAAGAAAAATTATAAAGATTTTGTTTCGAGATTTTAACTAGCGATTTTCTGTTTAATGGGTTTATAGATGGACAAAGCTTCGGTACTTGGGGATGCGATAAAGTACGTGAAGCATCTCCAGGAAAAGATCAAACAACTAGAGGAGCAGACCAAGAAGAGGACTGTGGAGTCTGTGGTTCTGGTCAAGAGATATCACCTCCCTGCCGCCGACGACGACGATGATCACTCTAATTCTTCTTCTAATGATGACGCCGACGACGATACCAGACGCAGATCAGTACTGGACAAGGGATGCTCCGATTCCACGCTGCCGGAGATCGAAGCGCGGGCGTCGGAGAGGGACGTGATGATCCGCATCCACTGCGAGAAACAGCCTGGCGTGCTCGCCAAGGTCCTGAGCGAGGTCGAGTCGCTCCGTCTCTCCATTGTCAATAGCAGCGTGCTGCCCTTTGGGAACTCCACTCTCGACATCACCATCGTCGCTCAGGTAAACTAACTAACTAACTCAATATTGACGCATTTTTGTATTGGAATGATGAGCAGTAATTGATGATGTCATGTGGGACAATATTATTGCAGATGGATGGTGAGTTCTCCATGAAAGTGATTGAGCTGGTGAAGAATCTGAGGCTGGCGTTTCTCAAGTTCATGTGACACACACACGTACACACACGCTTTGGATTCTGCAGAGGAAGGTTGTCGTCCTCCTATGTTTGTATGGATTTGTTGTTCATGTTTTCAGGAAGAAATACTTGGACTAACTGGATCTGTGGAACCATGTACGTACGCCAAATCAATTGTTTTGAACTTGAGAAGGTTCAACCAATTGGATTTGGATCTACGGACGGATTAGTTTGCTCAAGTATATTCCCTTTCCTGTTCTTTAAATTTTTCTTCCTCGTTTGGGGAGGTAGAACTAGCTAGTGTGGTTACTTCTTGTTGGTCAAACTTTTTTTCCCCATTGTGTTGGGTCTGGGAGGCGATTGACTTCCCCTTCATTAAGTTTGATATGACATTTTTTTTGTCCCCGGCAAATCCTCAATGCCTGGGGGTTCAATTATGTACTCGTTGGTAAATGGATTGCAATATGTAAACTGTAATTTCGTGCTATACCTCATTCTATTGTTGGTCATCATTTCTTTCTATTCGCTATTTATAACATCAAATTCACCTGAGTTGATGTCTTATTTTTTGCATCGCGCGTCCATTATCATTTTATTGGTTCAACAGTTCACTCTTTTACTAATGTAATGTGAAAAGTGCTTGAAATTATCATACCTAATGAACTAGAAAGGAAAAGATAGTATAAACTGTGGTAATCATTGATATTCGATATCCATATATATGGGTATGAATTTAATTAGCATAATAGCCTAACCTTATGTGGATATGAGTGTGATGAAACCAAACTAGTCGGGGATATATAGTTGGGCTAATGTGTTTGCACCAACCCATGTACTCTTTTTCATCTAGATAATTAGAGAGGATGACGATAAAAGCATGTGTGATCAGACACAAACTTCCTTGAAAATAAAGATGAGAATCATGACCTAATTGACACTAATCACATATATAATTACATATCATAATTAATTAATTATTTAGAGCATATTGTCTTCAGTTATTACATGGTTTGATAATTTGTTGTTAAACATATATATTACACATTTTTTTTTATTTGAGTCTTACAACTCTTAATATTTTAGACCTATATGGCCTTTGGAGAACCCCTTATTCATTGATATCAAGGATAAGATTAGGAGAAAAGCTTAGAATGATGGAAGCAACATGCATAATAAATTACCAAGTTTGCAAAAGAGTCACAATTGTGCAGGGTAAACAATTTTAGAGCACAATGTGCACCTCCCTGTTCAATGGTTGATTGAATGGTTTCATGGATTCAAAATGGTTTAATTAATTAAAATTAAAAGAAGTATGAGAACTGAAACAGGAAGATGAGAAAATATCATGTGCCACTTAAACTAGTATTATAGTTGCAAAACTACTCATCTTTACGATTCATGCTTAAGCATGAGGAGGCAAATGGGTTATTACCTGTAAAATAATGATATACAACCTAGCCAAAAATTTAACTCAGGTAGGTCCAACCTTAAAAGAAAATAAAACGTTTATTGATGTTTTACAATGATTCATGTCGTATGTTTACATTCAAAAGTATTTAAAATACAATCATCCACACTATCAAGGATGTCACTTTAAATGTATCCTACTAAATAATCATTCATGATTTCATTTTAATTAGTATGGCTGCATAGGTTCTATGTGCGGTGAATACGTAGATCGCTAATTGAAGTAAAGCTAGCGACAATTCAATGAGTGAGAAAGTGGGATTACACTAGTTGTAGGTTTGAAGAATGGGATCGTAGATACTAACAAAAGAGATCGATGTTAATTAGATATTGGAGTGAGAATAAATGCAACATCCTCAGGGATCAATTTGGCTATGGTGCTCATGGCCATTTTTGTGAGCATGTGATCAAATGGTAGGGATCATTCCACATCATCAAAAATAAATATCTTGGGCTTAGGTTGTTTGGCTGAAAGAAGGGCTACTAAAGAAGGGGTTAAAATGGCTATAAGCTTGACGTTTTTTTCTTTCTTTTGTTGACCCATTGGCGCTCTCTCCTTTCTTTCTCTTCTCCTTCTCTCAAATATGATCATTGTTCCTTGTTTGTTCTTTTGTGTTTCTGAAGATTTTTCGAAGATCAGAATTTTTAACGCGTGAAACCAACTCCTGTGAAAGGCTCGAGACTCTACTCCGAAATTGAAAAGAAGACAAGAGGTATTGGTTTCATTCCCTGTCTTTTTGTTCTTCTCCTTCTCCTTTCTCACCCTTCTGAGTTTTATACATAAATTGTATTTCTATAATGGTTTGATGGTTAGTTGAGAGGATTATAGCTTTTAAATCAACTATTTTTTAGGATTTTGGTTTCTTGTTTACTTTCAAGATGATTCCTATGTTTATTCGAGGGTTTGAGTTGCTGGAGGTATGGATGGAGACGTGAAACAAGCATTTAGTGGAAAGAATGATAGAATAGTTCAATCTCCCCCTCAATTTGTTTCGAATATGAGTTGTAGTAGGTAGTTTCTCTTGTGTAATGAAAATTGCATTTGAATGTTTTGGATATGTACTGAGTTTGTTTCGAATATGAGTTGAACATATATTTTCTCTTATTTATGAATATTGATTGTACACGTGTTGAATTTTTATTGTGTTAGTTGAATATGAGTTGAGCTTACTTGAGTTTACTTGGTAGTGAATATGAGATGAGAAGAGTTATTCGGTATAAGCATTTTTTCAAAAAAAAAAAAAAATTCGATGGGCGATGGGCGATTCTGCGAACATCGCGACAGTTCTTCGACAGTTGCCGCCGTTTCCTCGGCGCGAGAATCTAGCACGGCACGATCTCCCCTGAGATCATGGTTTCCGTGGAAGCCGCAGGTGTCCCCTGCGCAATTAATTTCTGGTTCCTTGAGTTTCGACTATTTAAGTTCAGTTTGGGGCAGTTTGGCTTCTGGGCGAGGTTAGTTCTTGCGATTGTGTTTATGCATGTGGCAGTTTCTATTCTACTCCCTGGTCTCCACTGTCCTTTTTCTTCTAATCTGGTTGTTCAATTGGATCTCTCGTCAATCTATCAAGCGTTTGGTTGTCAGCATGGATCCAATGGATATTGACCAAGTTGTTGCTTTTGCTGATGCGGATGTGGAGATTGCGCCAGCGCAGGCAGAAATCAGTTTGGTTGGGCGCCTCTTCTCTCTGGCCCCTCTCTCCAGGACAGCCATGGAACGAATTGCAAACGGCATGTGGGGTAGGGAGAATCAGGCACCCATTATGGTTCATGAGGCTGAGCGAGGGCTCTGGCGTTTCATCATCGTCAATGCTGGGCTTCGTGATCGGATTGTGCAGCGTTCTCCTTGGACGGTGCGCGATTTTGTTCTGCATCTGCTGCCATGGCGCCAGGTCACTGATGATTTGATACGTCACTTGACACGAATTCCTTTTGTGGTTTACATGTCTCGGATTCCTCCCCATCTGCGTACTTTGCATTTGGGACGGCGCTTTGCCAACCATATGGATGGGGGTGTGGATCATCGGGAGATTGGTTTGTATGCGGATCATCCGGGTGAGAGTGGGACTTTTATCAAAGCTAAGGTGATGATTAATGGAGAAGCACCGTTGCGTTCACGTTTGTTCGGGCAAAATGATCATTTGGGTGGCTTCTGGGCTCGTCTAGAATATGAATACTGGCCGCTGTTTTGTTTCAATTGTGGCCGCCTGGGTCATGGAGATTTGAATTGCTCATTCCCTCCCCCTCCTCCTGGGTCGGATATTTATGATTCCTCGATGTCTGTGCTCCGTCCCCATGGTGTGTTGCTAGATGAACACACATTGCTCCCGTCCGGTCAGCTTGCGGTTCCCCGTCGGGGTCGGGGCCGGGGCAACTACACGTGGGTTCACCCACGGAATATTGGCGGTCGAGGGCGAGCTCGTGGTAACAGAGCAGGGAGGTCTGCTTCGATGGATCCTGATCCCTGGCATTACCAAGCTGTTTATGCTTTTACTTCGGGGGAGTCTGCTGGTGGGTCTCGTTCTTTCACTCTCAACGAGATTCCGCCTCTTTCGCAATCTGGTCCAGCTCTGCCGCCGATTCGTATTTCGGAGGTTGCGCCAGGGACTCGTGCGACTCAGCAACATCCGTCAGCTGTTCGGGATAAGGATAAGGGCAAAGGCAAGGCATTCGTGTCTCCCCTTCAGCTCCTTCAATCTCCCATTTGCTATTTGCCGACGATTCTTTTCTCTTTCTTCGAGCTTCTCGTCGTGATGGGCAACGTCTTCTGGCTCTACTCCAAGAGTATGAAGAGATCAGTGGCCAACGGTTGAATTTATCGAAGTCTGCTGCGTACTTCAGTCCAAATTTGGATGCGACCTCGCAGAGTGATCTGGGTTCATTGCTAGGAGTAGGGTCTATTGGCCTCCTAGATCGGTACTTGGGTCTCCCTTCTTTGGTTCATAAGTCAAAAAAGGAAACTTTTCGCTTTGTAGAGGAGAAGCTCATGTCTGTTTTGCAGGGTTGGAAGATCAGAACATTGTCAATTGCTGCAAGAGAAGTGCTACTTAAATCTGTGGCAGCGGCTCTGCCTATCTACACAATGTCTTGTTTTTGGCTTCCTGCAGATTTAATTCGTCGTATGAATGCCCATATGGCTCGTTTCTGGTGGGGGGAAGTTCAGGGACAACGCCGGATTCATTGGATAGCCTGGAAGACATTGTGTGGGAGTAAGCATGAGGGAGGCTTGGGTTTCCGTGAGTTTGGGTGCTTTAATCAAGCATTGCTGGCTAAGGTTGCGTGGCGGTTTCTTTCCGAGCCTTCATCCCTCCTGGCTCGTATTCTTAAAGGGCGCTATTTTGTTCACGATCACTCTCTGCTGGAGGCATCTTCTGGTTCCAATCCTTCGTGGGGATGGAGGAGCATCCTTCATGGGCGCGACTTGCTCTCTCGAGGCTTACGCTGGCAAGTAGGCAGTGGAGAGTCGATTCGGGCCTTTGAAGATGCTTGGCTGCCCACGTCTCCACCATCTGTTCCCATTCGGCGTCAGGGTGCTCCTGCTTCATTTCCATTTGTTTCCGCTCTGATTGATCCGGGATCCCGCACTTGGAATATGGCGGCACTGCGTTTGTTTTTCAGTCCTGAATCTGTCAAGCTCATCTTGTCAATTCCTTTGTCGAAAATCCCAATTCCGGATGCATTGATTTGGCATTACGAGTCTTCAGGTGTTTTCCATGTACACTCTGCTTATCATCTTGCTTTTCAAATTTCACGTGCGAATAGTGGTCGTCTGCGGGTCAATCAAGTTGATCATGGAATGTGGCTGTGGTTGTGGAACTTGAAATTGCCTCCCAAACTGAAATTTTTTGTTTGGCAATGTCTTAATCGGATCTTGCCAACTAGAGAAGCCTTATCATTCAGGGGTCTTGATATTATTGCGATCTGCCCGGTTTGTGGTCGGAAGGTTGAATCGATAGAACACTTATTTTTTACCTGTCCTTTTGCCCGGAAATTGTGGAATTTGGTGGGGTTCCGGACAGAACTTGCGAGTTGGGATAAG